CGCATGCAGAAATGATTCAAATTTCTTGTGTTTTGCCCATGTACACTGCAATATTGTTCGTGATGAGTAATCATGAAAGTCACGGACTGAGGCAACGAGACCTTTGGACTACAGAAGGACAGTTACTTCGGCCCATTGGGAAGTGACGGGTGAGTGAGCCAATCTGCAACACCAGGACAGTTACTGTGAGCTCATTGGCAATACGTCGCGCACCAAGCAGAAGTCGTATATTAGATTGCGCACCTAATCGTCAGCCCTCGGTAGCTCAGTGGTAGAGCAGCTGACCGGAAGTTCGTGGGACCGGGGTTCGATTCCGGTCGAGGTAGATTATTGTGTGGAGTTTAATCGGGACTTCTACTTTCTACGAACCTTACCGTACTCACAAACATCCTTCAAGTGAGACCTAAAATGTACCTTTGAATAGCCAAAAGTGAGTTTAGTTCCGTTCTTTACGAAATTGTATATAATAGTACACATTGTAGCCTGGGTGACAACACCTTGATGGGCGTTTCACAAGATAGTGGCCTTGGTGTGGTGATGTGAGACGACTGTATCTGTTCTGAACAATCCTTGCTGATCTCTCCTGGCGTGCTCTGGCGAGTGGCGACCCTTCCATCCTTCCGCGAATTTTCACCACCTATGTTATACCCCACGTGGAATACGCGGTTCAAGCCTAGTAACCCTAAGGAAGTGGTTATCTGACTGCAGTCGAGATCCTTTAGCGAAGACCAAGTCAAAAGTCGAAGACCTGTTTCATGTGTCAAGCCAACTACGAATGAAATGCATAGAAATTGCATGTGGAGATTGTCACCATCTATGGGTAGCCTAATCCTGATGCATCAGATTCTGGAAATTCTTAGTCGCATTTGCTTATGTGAAGGGATATTTACATAGATAGCGCAACCAAAACCTTCTCCAGGCTCAACACGACCAGTATACCAATACTTTGTAAGTAAACTCAAGAGTGTCATCCATTTACTACGTCTCGGTCACGAATACGAATTGTGTGCTAGCAAATGGAACGCTTGAGCCTGGAAAATGAATTATGTATTTCGGAGAGATTACATAGAGCAAACACTTCTTTTTTACGGTCAGTGGGGTAAGTTCAATGTCTGTTGGGATAGGGTGGATCCAGATTTTGATGGAAATGCTTTGGTTTCTTTAGCGGATTGGGGCGTTATCGGGTTTCGGCCGATAAAGGCAAGACCGTAGTGATAACGAACAAATCGAATTATGTGGAAAAAATGGAACAGCGTTTAGCAGCAGGGCCCTACGAAGCAATCGAGAAAAAATCCGTATCTTCCATAATGAATAAGTGCAAAACTGAGGTAGGAAACTACCTGAGAAATGTGAAGGACAACCTAGGGCCGGGTAAATGGTATAGCGTATATCCGAAATCAACGATTCCACCTAGGATCTATGGGCTGCCAAAAATACATAAGCAGAAAGTTCCCGTTCAACCCATTGTAGATGGTATCGGTTCTCCAACGCACGAACTAGTCCGATATTTGGCAGGTTTGTTGCAACCTCTAACAGGGAGAACAAATAGCTTCGTACGGAACTCTTATGAGTTCGCGCGAAAGGTAGCAATTTTGGACATCGCGCCAGACGAAATAATGGTTAGTTTCGACGTTAGTTCCCTATTCACTAACTTGCCCAAGGATGACGCATTGGGTATAGCACAGCGTTGTCTTACTGAGGACAATAGCCTGGAGCAGCGAACGAAACTCACGGTAGATCAGATAATCGATGGAATTAAAGTATGCCTTATTATGTCGTATTTCACTTTCAATTCGAGACTGTACTCTCAGGAACAGGGACTTGCCATGGGGTCACCAACAGCCCCCGTATTGGCAAATCTGTATATGGAAAACTTCGACAGAACGGCGCTGACAAACTCCAGTAGTTAGCCAAAGATTTGGTGGCGCTACGTGGATGATACGTTTGTGATTATGAAGCGAGATATGAAGGAGGCGTTTATAAATCATCTGAACTCCAATAATAGAAATATAAACTTTACTATGGAACTAGAATCTTGCAGTGGCACACTGCCATTCCTCGATTGCCTAGTTCACAGGATTGGTGGACGGCTAAAGACGACGATATATCGCAAGCCGACAGATACGGACGGAGTGCTTCATTACAGTTCGGGTTATCCAAAACAAGTCTATGCCGCTATCGCATCCTCTCTGTTTCACAGAGCCCAGACTCTGTGTACAGAGGAGGAGGACAGGAAGGCAGCTCGTAAGGAGACGGTGAGCAAATTAGTAGACAGTGGATATCCCAGCCGGTTAGTGAAACGCCAATTGCAGAGAGCTCTAAATCCACCTCCGCGACGCACAACGGAGTGGATTGGGACAGTGGGAATCCCCTATAAAAAGGGAACCTCAGAAGCAATCACACGAGTACTAAACAAGGAGAAAATAAGAGTGGTATTTCGAAAGGGCCAAACGCTCTTTTCAGCACTTGTGCATTTGAAGGATCCACTTCCAAGAGACAGGACGACTAATTGTGTTTATAAAATCAATTGCAAAGACTGTGAACACGTGCATATAGGTCAGACAGCGAGAGAGCTAAGCACGAGGATAGCAGAACACAGAAGGTACGTTTCGCGTCCACCGAGAAATGAGCCTGAATACAGGGCCCTACTAAAAGATTCAGCGGTGGCGCTAGAGGCAGGACACGCGATTGATTGGGACAATGTCGAGATACTTAGGAGGGGATTACCAGCAACAGGCCAAAGGTTAATTGCTTAGGCGATCGAGATAACTAAGACTAATAACTGTGTGAACAGAACAGACGGGGTGGAGTTATCGAACGCGTGGCGGACTGTGTTAACCCGGTCAGTCAGAAAAGGTGTCGGCGGACGAACTCAGGTCGGAGAGTGAATCAGCAGCTGCAAGAAAAGGAATACCTCACATGTGAACGACCGATGACGTGGATCAATGAGAAACGCTTGATGCTTGTTGTTTCATTAGCGTGGCCACTTGACCTATTGACCTGTAACATTATTATCCAATTGTTTATGTTATGACTTGCAACATGCAACTTACGTTCCCATAAAAAGCTAAGCCAATTTTGTAACGGTTCACCTGGCCTGAAGAAGCTCTTGTGTCAAGGGCGAAACGTTGCCACAATAAAACCCTAGAAAAAACCGATTTGTATTGAAACCTTCTGAAATCATGAAAACGCTTGAATGTTTTCCGTAATAAAGAGTAAGATTAAAAGGTAGCTGTATGCAAGTAATTAAAAATGTAGCAGTGGACTTATCCCAAATTTCAAGTGTACACATTATTTGCTTACGTTGTTGTTGCGTGTTTCAGTAACTTGGGTTAAGTCATGTAACGTAGGTGTTGTAATGCACTCTCAAGTCGAGTTTCAAATTCGGACAACGCAGAAGCAGATATGACCAAATGCGGAAGTAAGTTATACCGCTGGGATACACGAACTGGGAAAAGTTCCGGCGGCATTCCAATCGCCTATACTGTGTCGCCAACTTCAAATGGTGGCCATTCAATGTTAGGTTGTGGCTGAGTTTCATTAGGGGGTCAACATGGCTGGTTACGTTTCTGGAGGATCTGATACACAAACATGACATAACCATGCAGCAGACAATGTTGTCCACTAATACGTCCTGGAATCTTTAGCCTCAAATGGTCAGGGAGGTTTAAGAACCCTCCACAATTTTTGTCACCTTTCCTTGTAGCTTCTTATGAGCAGTGACTTCATGCTTTGCCAGGAGGGCCAGACTTGAGTGACATTTTCAACGTCTGGTCACACGTAAGCGTTGAACATTTGCGAAAAGAAGGTAAGATCAAACCGACCAAACGCCCTGCGTAATAAGCCCAAGGGTTAGCTTGCTTATTTCACTTTAATCTTAGCCTGTTCTAACGAAATGATGGGCCGAGTTTGGTCAGTTGGACGTGTAGACGAGATAACACGCTGAATAGTGCCTTTTCACAAAAACAAAGAAGGAAAACCACTTAGTCAAGTGCAATTATTAAGTGACGATTACACTTTTGTAGTAAGGCATTATGGTTTCACACAATCTGCCCACACATCACCCTAGGTTAAGAAAAGTAGAAATATGAAACCCATCTTGTCGCAGTTTTCTTGATGACACCAAAAAGATAAAAGGATCGCTACCGAGAGATGGTTTAAGATGCTTGGTAATGTCTGACTTGCCGCGCTTTCAAGATGAAGCTTCACCATATGCGCTAAAACCACAGCTGAAATGATGGCACTACAGAGGCACTATCATCGATGATGGTCCCTTAGGCTTCGTAATACCTATAGTGGCAGCAAAATATTGACTGCAATTTGCAATATGAGCTGTCCGGACTCAACTATTAGGTGTGTCCAAATGCGAAAGTATTCCAAAACACCGTTTCATGACGCTAAATATACTGTGAGAAATCTATCAAATGTGTAGACTTGAGCAAAGCAGCAATGAATTTTCGAGGTTAGACTGATTGTTTAGTTAAACATTATGTAATTAAACTGAATGTTAATTGTTATTGTGACAGAGTTGAAAGTTAAAGCTTTGCAAGCAACTAATTCTCAACCGGGATTACTAAAGCTTTCACTGTTTGAAAAATGCCCTCATACTATCCTTGCTCATACGAAGTTACCGGACCTCCATCTCCTACTCCGGCGATTGAAACCGAAAACAGAACATAGCCAATACATGTCAGCAAGTAGATTCCCCTTGTTTAATACAGATTTGCTATAATGTTAAATTGATAATCAAGATAGACTAGTCGATCTACAGGGAAACTTTTATCCAGTTGGACTAAAATAACTTCTATGGTTAGCTCAGCATGATGATAAATACTTTGAATTATTACCGATGAGAGTTGATCATGGTCAAAAATCTACTGTTTCGTCAACATGCCGGGTCACGTCGCAGGCATTTCTACGTCTTTTGATGACAAACTTAGTAGAACCGAATGGTGTCCTATTTTATGGGAATTTGTTAACCTGGCATTCTTCTCATGCAGACTTTGGAGCCAAGTGACAGTTCTCAAGGTACTGATCATCAATTTGGCTCGCAGACTGGCAGTACAAACGCAACAAAGTCCATGTCAGGAAGCGCTCAGCCTGATGCTAATGATTCGGAAAGCATGGAATCGAGAGAAAACCAAGAGGAAATGAAAACTATAATGCATCGTGAAAGAAGACGAGCGGTAATCGAAGACGATGTGAGATTTATATGCTCGATTTGAACTAATCAAGCATGTTCGCTTATTTGTGGAATAAACAACCTGGTTGTTAAATATGGGAATGCTCATCGATCACATAATATTTTATGAGATCCATCTTTTGCTGCATAACTATATGTATTGATATATATCTATATGGTTTACGGCATTCGTATCCGGATGTGCCTGTCACTGTGGCCAGACACAGGACGCCTGCGCCTACAGAGGGACCATGGGTGGATTGCGCTACACCACCCAAAGCTCCATCCACACAACACATATCCAATGTAAACCCGAAGGTACAAGACCGGCAGACATGTGGATAGGAGTCAGGTTTCATCAACGGAGCAGGCCTACACTCCATCACAGGCAAACACAAGCAAGCTGTATTAGGGAAAATAACCGCACATAAGGCGGTGGTTGGACCGTAGTCCGCTCCACACTGAGTGCATGGAACCGCTCTTTGAGCCCAGCACGGCCACAAGGACCGTGCACCCCGTCCCCTACAGCAATGACTAACAGTCTCCTAAAGCCAGTATTGACGAGGTAGTGGATAATAGACAGGTAGGCACCTTGTCAACATGCGCATCAAGCGCATCCACACCGGAGATATCAAGCAACAGCAAATCACATGAAATACAATTTCAAATAAAATAGATCGAGTACGTCGTACGGAAGAGCCGCTAACTTAGCATATATATACATACATATTAGTTGTAGGCTATGTGCTACGCACCAGTATGTTACGTAAAATATGCATATTATCAGTATAGTCCACACGCCAAGGCCAGGTGAGCGCACTAGTGAAACCCGACTCCTTGATGGTATGGCATTATATAAACTTACTTTACCTCTTCTGAAGAGACAATTCCGGCAATAAACTTAGCACTTTGATAATGAGCATTGGAGGTAGTTACTTAACAAAACATGCACATTCGATTTTACTCAACCGTCCAATCTATTCACTCAACGTAGTTTTTTGAACTCCGACAGCATTTCCAGTGGAACTCTGAGGAGGAAGCCTCAAACGCCGGCTCAACCGCTGCGGCTGCTGAAAGGTAACCGATACGACATATTTTTCCACAGTGCATGTCTACTTACATATGAGGACAACTTAGTTCAATACACTTATGAGGTAGCTAAAGCCTAACGTGTTTAGTCCATTATCGTGTGTATCCAAGCATCCTGCAACAACGAAATTTAACTGCATTTGTCCTCATCTAACAGTGTCTCGCGGTTGACAAAATTAAAATATATACCTCTTGGGTTGATCGAACAAACCATTTTAAACGGCTGATACACTCGGTTGATGAGTCTGTTGCGGTAAAAGGTTTGTCAATTCGATGGTGACATCCGGTTATAGTGTGAGTGGATTAGAGAAAATTTCTAGCGAAATCACCGGTTAACAAATCCCTGCACATTGCCCGAACACGATATCAGAAGTATAGCTTCAGCTACAATAAATTGTGTGTCTATCTGTTGTGTAAGTGTGTACATCTGTCTGTATTGAACTCGTGGGAAGGCTGGTTGAAATCACATGTTCTAGATTCACTGCTTCACCAGATGCAGAAGGATTGGATTGCACTTTCGCTAAGTTGTTTGTGTATACCATTTATATGCTAACAGAAGTCAAATGACCTGGAACGGTGTTTCATCAAAGACATTTAGGAAGAGTGAAATATCGGTCTATTGTTGAAACAGGTCACAAAAACACCCGAATTGAAAATATTAGCCCACAAGTTGTCAACGTGGATAAATATCAAAAAATGGCGGGACGTGCGGTATGGATTTGAGACATTCTCGTACATCCAATAACATCATTCTGCATACAGCGAAACGGCTAGTTAAGCGCGTATATACTATTCGCTCTCCGATTTCTTATGAAAGTCAAACATCTTTTTTACAATAGGAGCATGGAAGTAGCATGATGTTACATCTAGCGGGAAAGCTAAGATGGGGGAGTACTATTCCACATGTGGCCAAAGTATACAGGCACCGGTTTCAGAGCGTCAACAGAGCATGTGTCTCATTACCAGACTCTTCAACAACTCAGGTTGGTCAGAGTCGCAAAGTTCCTTCTGCACCAATATCTCGTATTCACATTCCTAAGAAGCTTTCTGCTAGGTAACATGGCTAAACGGTTACCAGGTTATTTAGCTGTTGAACACATTTGGACATAGTTTGTTTCGGCTGTATTATCCCGAAATGGATAACATGTTCAACATATCATCATCTTGACAGTCGCGCAATCGTTGTAGTCAGCCGTTGATAATGTAGGATACGCCGTGCTATATCACGGTTAGTAATCAGTTATGACGGTGCGCTGCCGCCATCTATGACTGACTGGCACGAGTCAATGACTCGCGTGTGTAAGATTATTGGTTCGGATACAACACTACTGACGACTCCAAAGGGGGCAAAATGGCCGTTTAGTGATTTCCTAGATGTGTGGGACTCTCTGGTTGAGTCTAACAGAAACGGATTTCACAAGAGCTGGAAATAGCCACGGGCTAATTTTATGGCAAAAACCCGAGGCAGGCACAACCCTATCAATAAATCATTTTGAAATACGATTTACGTTAAATACTGCTTGGGACTTTGTACTCCAAAATCTCTTGAAGCATTATACCATGGATGAAGTTGCTTATGTAATGAACAACGACGTACTTAGCTGCATCGTTTCTCAGCTAGCAAAGCATTTTTCCGAACTGTCTAGAAAAATGGCTTTGAACTTCACTGCTCTATAGGCTGTTACCACCTAACTGCTTCCTGCACTCGATCGGTTATTAGTGCATGATTGAGCGGGACTGAAGCCGTGCTTTTCCGGCACGGTGACATTAGATCTTACAGGCCAATTTGCCGTTGTTTTAGCAGCGAAGTTGTTTACGCAACCATTCTTGGGGCCTGTATGTGGAATGCCAAGTGACAAAGTGATGGCACTGCGCAGCATCGGCTGTCCTTCCAGGGTTATTACGCAACTGTCAACAGATAGAAATATTATTCCATGCCTTCGTATTTTAAGGTAAGTGAATAGGTTAAGCCCACTTAACTGGCTTGCTGTCCAGGCGCCGTTGTTCAAACCTATGCCAGCGTCGTCACGATCCCATGGAGTATGCCATCCAGAGGTTACTTTTTGTGTGGATCGTCAGGGAGAGGAACCAATGCGCAGCAAATGCAAAATGCCCACGGTTTGGACATTGCACGCAGATGGCCGTCACTAATGCTGGCTCGGATGGTTTCGAGTAGAAAAAGCTAGCTGTCATAGACGCATGTCTTGAAACGTCAGTTTTATAGAGATTGACGTTCTGTTCAGCACGGTCAGATGTGCTAATCTTACGACACACTTGACCCATTTATAGTCTCAATAGATACTGCTAGTCAACCTTCATTTGTAAAGAAAATTTTATGAAAAATACGGCTCCTACTTTGACCGAATATTCTGACCACATTTTTGGCCCAAATGCCTGTAAAGATGATGAGAAAGTGTCCAAGGCAGCAGTTGGAGACGAAGCATCTATTGACACCGGTGCAGTACGGATTCATGTTGGGTCACGCTTTTACCGACAACCTGCTTTTGACGCGGCATAAATGGTTGTAAGCGATGAACCGGAAGAAGTCGATAGATGTGACCTAAATTGATTTAATTGAAGCGTTCGATAAAGTGAACCATGTGGTCCTCCTAAACAACATGAGTATATGCGGTGTTGTTGGCTCACTACACAAGTGGAGCAGTGGCTTCTTCATTGGACGAAAATGAAAAGCACAGGTAGATAGCCGTCTAACGTAGTAATACCCTCCCAACAGTGGCATGCCCCAAGGCACATTAATGGGGACCGTTTTGTTCCAAAACCTCCTCAGCGAAATATTTCTGCTACTTTATTCTCGCTGTGCCTCGTTTGTAGACAAGTTGAAGATCTGTAGAGTGTTTGATGCTCCGGATAACTGTGATCTCCATCAGTATGAGCTCAACCAACTCTCCAGGTGGACAGCAGATGTCTATCTGCTTGCAACCCAGTCAAATTGTTATTTGTGAGCCTGGGAAATGGTGGTGTTAGGTGTACCTACACACTGGCCGGCCAAGCGCTAAAACGCACAGCATCCGTGAAGGATCTCGGCGAACCTTCATGTTGCGAGTTGAAGTCTGTAGAGAACACAAACAAGCTATATGGAAACGGTCTGCCTATGCTTTGGGCGCTTAAACGCCGCTGCTGTATTTGGTCTAAAGAGATTGTCAAGCTCCTCTTCACTTCCATTATAGTGACAACTACTCTAGCGAAGAATAACCGTCTGTTGTCCGATTAATTGTGTTGTGGTGCAGGAACGGAAACTGCTTCAACGTGTAGTTGCCAGACTCATCTCCAATTTACGGGGCATGCAGTACCATGACGGAGGAAGGTGACTAGGGCTGTACACCATGACGTATCTTCGGTTTCGAGTAAAGTCTGTAACGACTCACTGGATGTTGAATGTGTGCCACTTCTACACGCTGAAGCCACCGCTGCATGTGAGTGCACCAAGCGGTGCTCGCTGACAATGGTACAACGTTTTGGCGCCGGATTTAAGCAGGAATCTTACCGTTTATACTTCAGGCGACGATTGGTGAACTATTAGATTAGCTTGTCCGAGAAAATAGTCGGTCAAACTCGGTGTCGAAATCCCAGTACTTCTTAGACGTCCCGTTGGTGAATCACAGTTAGTGTGCGCAAAACAAACGTATAGCCTATAGTGCAGCTATAATATGCTGCAAAGGCGCAGGAATTAGTGACGTAATCCAGCGTACGTGCCCGATTTAACTACGACGGGGCAACACATATGTATACCTAATATCTTTATTTTCTCGTTATTCCTTCAGAACAAAAAGGTATTTATAACTGACCACTAGAACGTCAACCAATCAGATGAGTCGTTTTGGTATACTACTAGGTATGCTGTGTCTAATAACCGAGTTCGAGAACTTTGCTAACAGATAGTTTTACGGCTCGTTCCTTGGGCTCATCTGTTCGGAGGCTGGAACTTCCTAGGTTATGTTGGTGAAAAATCCGTAAATGAATTAATATCGAGGACAACCGTACGCACTGATTGCACACTGTCACTTACCTTATTTCTTATTTAAAGCTTAGTAAGCTAATACTTGTGCATTGGCATGCTTCCTGTTTTCGCGTATACCCGTCGCTTCATGACTACAATGCACAACGGATGTTTTATTAAATCTGAGGTTCGCGTGCGATGTAAAACCGCTTGCTAGCATAGAGCTTTACAATATCAAGAGCTGCTTGATGATTACATCATTTTGAGATCTGCATTCATTTCGGATTTACTCGGTAACATTTCAGTGCGCGTCGCTGAATCCACACCTTTTCGTTTCGGTTTGGGAAGCTCTATCTACGGACCGAATTCTCAACAGAATAGTTTCAACACAGCTTGTTTCTACCGGGATTTACCAACAAGCGCAATTTACCACCTTTACTCAGGCGCAGAGTATTAATCCTTTACAAACCCTAGCCAGGGAATTTGGCCTCATTCTGTAAACGTGTTTCTCAGCTTTCTGACAAGCTCTCAACCGCCCCACTCCATTACCATTTGTGTCGATTGCAGTGCCAGTTAGGCCTTTCTTATGCTACAATCTACCTTCAAGCGGACACCAGCTCTCGCAACACTGCGTTTCAGTCTTTGCGATCAATAAATGCGAAAGGTACAACAGCGACTTACGTGTCCGCCATACACTAACTGCCCTACTCGAAAGGAAATGACTGACAAAGTCAATGCGGTAGGCGTAAGGCGCCAGCCCTCTGGTCTTAAACTTAGCAGTCATCAATAGTGAAAACTAGGCGGCGAGCCACTATTGACTAGCGAAACGGCTAGCAGCTGTTTGACCTCAATATCCGTAGTCCATGTGCAACTGAATATGTGTAGCGGAAACTGTTAAAATTTACTGAAAATTGGACTGGCATTTCTCACAGTAACACTAATTACCTACCGAACTCCGCCAGTTCGTTCTTAAACCAAGAGACCGCATAAACTTCTGGTCTTTCCTGAGTGTACAATGGTTCCGCTGGTAAACTGTGTAATTAAATTATCACAGATCACGACAGCCTAACAGTTGTAACTGAACTTCGTTTAAACGCCAAAATGGCTTTGCTATAGGCCTCATTAGAGGGGCATACACCACATCCATCTCACCCAATGACTACCGCGAAAGTAAGGAGAATAGCCCGGTGTTCCCTTGCAATCACAGCAAGGGAAACCGTGGAAACTCCGAACCGACCAGCTATCGTGAACGACCGAAGTATTTCGGGTTCCACCGCTACTATCTTCGGGTACTATGTATCGGATGATGCGACTACGGCAACGCCTACACATCCGATTAAGCGACAGAAATCGAACCTCCGCGAAGTTTCATCCACTTACGTAACAGTTACTGCTCGTTGTGTTCAAATTGCGACTCCATTAGCTTGAACTGTTGTAATCACAAGTGGTGTCAGGAACCAGATGCAAACTGTAGGGACCTCGACAAAAACACCCACGTTAACGATGACTAGACGGAACTACGGTTTCATAATACTCATATATCCTACTAACATTCCTGAGTCCAAGGAAAACGCCTTAAGAGGCGAACCGCAGCAGGATCTGAACCAGTGGCATCGTGCTTCTGATCGGATCGGTCTTTGGACCTGACCGACTAATATAATGCACGTCACCAGACATGGAAACTCTATGTATTACCGTGAGGCGCAGGTGTTAAGAGTAATGTTAAGATCCATAGCTGAGATCGAGATTGTACTTTTGTGTATATTGAAGACAGTGGGATACGCATTTTTCCGAATCTTGCAAGGGGCGAACGATAGCCAAACAAAAATAAGCAAACAAATATTCCACGGAGAGTAGCAGAATAATCATTTTCGTTCATGACGTGCCCCAGTTATCGGCAGCTAGCGACGAGGCAAACGCCCATGACCGGGAAGTATAGTGGTAATTCTGTGAAGCACTCTTGACTGGTGACTTCATAGTTAAATAAAGCTCAAAACTACCTTTGGGGCCTCAGGTATTGGCTCGAGAACACCAAATCTTGTAGTCCTGTCTCAAAATACGGCAGTAAACTTAATGGGTGGCTGACATAAACTGAGCAAGACAATATTTTTGAAACCACGCTTAAAAGTAGCCAACAGAAGACCGAGGCCATGTGACCTCATCGAGGACTCAATGTTACCACAACAGTAAGTCATATAACCAAGTTTTCTAACCAGTAGCCATGGAAAACAGATTACCGACAAACCACTCAGCAAAAGATTAGGTGTCGAAGTTTCATCGGTCCGAATACCTCCACCCCATTCATACGCTCCTTGTCAAACCTTTCCGCTTTCCATAAAACCATCTTGTATATACACTAATTCCTTGGGCTTACTTAGACAAGATTCCGACCTGCGATTCCCTCAGCGATCAAAGGCTGTGATCCCATCGCTATAACGGATACAGCCATGCAACCCGATGCAAGCGACATCGAGTTCACGTTGCCAGGCCTCTCCGTTGTCAGACACAACCAACACAATAAAGGAGGTGTAGTGGCCCTGTACTTCTGCATTGATCTCCAATTTGCGGCCATCTAAGACCTGGACAACACAGTAAGGGAGCCATTTTGGAGCAGCCCACTTTAACGAGGCGACGACGCGTACTTGGTGGCGGTAGTTTACTGCCCTACATCTTCCACACCTGAGGTGGACATCAACCTGGCGTCCGCACTGTGCCGCTAACAAACAAGTGGTACAGCCATATTCTTACCATTGGCGATTTCAAGGTCAGCGCCCTGGAATGCCAAGTGACCCATGGGGACAAGTTAGAAGCTGGCCTGAAACAACTTCTCGTCAGTTTCCCGCCTTATGAGCATATAAACACGTCCATCAGATTCAGAAAGGCAGACAGACCACCCATACGAGGCAGGATATATGCCGACGATGAACTCATGATCAAGAGCTTGGTCATCGATACTCCTCTGTGCCGCAACCTTGCGCTTCATATCTACTTGCTGTGCAGCACATGCCAAGGAGAATATACGAGCACCACCGACTATAACATTATAGGACGCCAAGCTATGCTGGTTGAAATGACAAAATGGAAAAAATTAGCCTAATATACACCGGACACTTTTTGAGAAATTTCAACATCTTGGTTTCAAATGCATCAGAAACTAAGGCTATCCGTCCTAACAATACGGTTTTGTTTGTACAGCGTAGGACACGGAAATACATGGTGATTCAAAACGCAGCATTGTACACGCACAAAATCTATCTGAAAGCGAACAGGTGGAGGAAGTTACGCCGGTTATAGTAGTAATATTTTTCAACTAGTGCGCAAGGACAAGGTTGCATATCAACAGGCTTCAACTGGAGGATATGCTTCCAATCATAAGGTATAACTATGGGAATAACCTTCACGAAGCAAAAAGTGATTTCTTCCTGTTGTAACAACAGATAGACCAAGACGAACGGCCACAGAAGCAACAAATGCCCTGAAGCACTATTATGCGCCAACATCGCAATATGTTCTGGGGTATCCTGACCCACTGGAATGTACTGTGCCATCACCAATACTAACTCTTATCCAATTTGTGCCCTATACTGTGACGAGAAAATTGTCATCTATGCACCCACCCAGCTCTCCTGGTTTTGCTCATGTTTGCCAAAATACGCTTACAATTGCAGCTTTGGTGCGATTCTTCCAGCAATGACTTGACGAGATGCATGTTGCGACAGCATGAGAACAGGGGATAATAACCAATTTACAAAGGAGTCAGTCCTTCCGAACTAGCTAACTGCCATCCACTGATTCTTCTTCCGGATTTTTCATAGAAGTTATCATTGCTGACGCATTGATGTCTTACTCTGAAGAACTTGACTGCGTCACTCAAGGGCAACATGGCTTCCTTCGGAACCGACTGCGCACTACAGATCTACTGTTAGCACGGGGCAATTGAACGAAAACAGTGGATGTTGGTTGAGCAATTGATGTTGACTACCTCGGCTTTTTAAGGCATTGAACCTTTTAAAGCATCGTATCCTTCTAGCCAAGCTCCAGGGATAGGGCACTGGGGTGGACTAGCATCCTTATCTTGCCGAGCGTCTAAAAGCGAAAGTGCGTGAATCTGTCGCAAAACCTATACAAGTAGAATCGGTGGGCCACAAGGTTCAGTAGTGAGGCCCCGTCTATCCTTGCTTTTATTAACGATCCACAGAGCTTAATCGCTTCAGACTGTTCGCTTTACACTGATAACATCAAATCTTCAGACGACAGCTTCAAACTGAACTTGAGAAAATTTATGTATGATCAGTCCACCATCGTCATCAGTTCAAAGTGACTAAATGTTGAGTACTCCATTATGACATTAAATGATTTGCCCTTATAAGCTGGGTGACCACGATCTCTGGAACTGTTCACGGGAGGAAGATCTCAGTTTACGTATCCAGGATGACTTGCTTTCCTCTGAGCAACCCACACTGGCATCAAAAACTAGAATCCAGGATTTGGGACTCAAAGAGAGTTTTTAATCACCTTGACCTATTAATTTTCCCCAATTGCTTTCTGCGTACATACGCCTGCAGGTAGAACATGTGATCCACGTATTGCAGCCATGTCGGTCCAATAAATAGGTCAAGGGGCTAGAGCACTTATCTCACGAACACCGCCTTAATATTTTAAGAGTTTTCGGTGGATACTAACATAACTACTCTGGCTACCACCAGTTAACGCTCAGCTATTAGAACAACCTGATTGGCCACCGGCTTAGTCAGCTGGAATGCAGAATGAATTGCTTCTCGCCGAGTGCTTTCCACATATGAAATTCGCTCTTGATACCTGTTATCGCCCTCAACTATATTAGCTGTGTTCAAACATCATTTCGATAATGCCTTGGTTGCGTTGCACCAATACATATCGTAGCAAGGACGAGTCAGCAATGGAACACAATCTTTATTTACGTGCTTACAAGCTATACAACCACTCACACAAGCGCACCTAAATGAGACACGTTTCCTTCCAAAGACGCAGCATCTCTTCTGGCGTCCACTCGCGACACGTCTGTGCTCATTTGGGACCAGTTAGTGGAATATTTCTTGATCAATTCACCTTCGTATCTCCGCTTCTACACGTAGCATTCTGATCGGCCCGGAGTCGTTCGATAGCTCGTGCTTTGCTTAATCGTGGATGCATCACTCTGCTTGGGGTCGGTCGCGGTGGCTGAAATAATGGCGATTGGGTCTGATTTATTACATTTTCGACGTCTACAATCTTCGTTCTGCTTGGTTCATACTCACTACCTGTCTCCCCTCATAACCCGTTATCGTCCTGTTCCGTCAGGCCAGCGTAGCTCCATCTTTCCTCCTTCATGTCGGCAGTTCCCGTCTACGTGGTCTGTCTATCCTCTGGGCAATCACTGTCTAGCGCCTCTTTACAGTACAACACACATGAACCGTACGCACATTCAGAAAGAAGACCGCAGCAGAGCACACTTGTTTATTTTAGACAACCAAGAGCAGTAACATCTCAGATTGTGAAAATCCGTATGAGCACTACTCAGAAGGACATGGTTTTGCTCAGCAAGTTCACTGTCTTTCTTTCGTTCTCTGTTTATTATTGCTTTTCATTTACATTTGAAAACATTTACCCCCATCCTGCAGGGCCTGTTAAGCCTAGGCTTTTTTATCCGCTATATACCATTGACCATCGACCATACTCAAAGCAGACCTCCTGACTAGACGTTATTTACCTCATTCACTTCACAAGTGACCTTCATGAACCCGCCTATAATTTCAGCGAAACTTCTACCTCAAAGAGTACCGGAGAACTTGTATCATCGGTCGGCTTTTTTGGTGGACAACGACGCGGATTGCTTAGAAAGCAACGTACAGTTGCTGAGTTGCTGGCGCGTTCTCAAACTCTGAATGCATCGTCGGAATTTGGTGAGTTCGAGAATTTTCTATTTGGTGAAGGATTTGTGAGTCGAAGTCTGGATCAAGATAATGCCTACCCTAGCGAACACAGTTGATAATCTGAGTAACGTGACAAAAAGAGCAATTGTAAGTTTGTAGTCTAGAATATTTCTCATCGTAATCTGAACGGAAAATAATAGCTTGGTCACATATTCAGCAGAAACCGCAGGCAAAATACTGGTGAATTATTCAAGGCAGAAGTTATGTAACATTGCACACATGCAAGATAATACTACGGCTGTTAATTTAATAAAGAAATTCATGGAGCGAAGTTCATACATCCACAGTTAGCCATGCAATCAAACACTTTCGGTTCGCAACTAGACATTCTTACTTGAAAAACCCCTGCCTACTTTTTGCAGACACAAAAACACGAAAAAAAGCCATTTTGAAGCTGGTAAGTAGATTTTTGACAAATTTTATTTTTTCCAGATTGCATACGAAAACGATCCTCTCAAAACTGCCACGTCGCACATTGGAAATACGATTTAGCTGTTATAACAACAATAAGCAGAACATTCATCCAGAGTGCACCTAGGCGTTGTGGCAAGATATCTTTCAGGTGGTCCCTCTCACAGCGTTAATTCCAATTCAGGAGAAGGTTGTAGATGAATTTACTTCCGGTACTATGTCATTGATATGCGCGTGCGACCGACAGCGTTTTTACCAAAAGTGCGAAAAGCAGAAGATTGTTAACCACTTCGCAGCATAAGCAGCATACGTAAAATTGCTAAATTCGTCAATAGAAATTTAGCTACTTTTTAGTTAACTTTTCATTATTAGTATGTGCAATCGTATCCCGTATACGACGAAACCGTCTCCTATACATTATATAACACTGCTGTCATCCCTTAACCTCAGCAAACTAAGTTGCACTGAATATAACCTAGCTGATGTTCAGCAAGGTTGCATGACTTCCTTTGCCGTTTATAGGCTGAAAGTCGTTCACGTTCAAAAGATCTCGTTCTGGATATTGGTGAAGCACTGAGCAAATTAACTCCATCAACATTTACGGATACTTATTTGGAATCATTCAGGGTTCGTTTGCTCTGTATAAATTTGGTTGTGTTTATGTTGTCCAGTCTTATCCGAATATTGAGCTCTTCTCTTTTCCTATTTTTACTTTTAATATTTGTCTACTTGACCGTAACCAATTCTAACCATTAAAATTGATGAACTCCTCTGCCGCTAAGTAAATTAGTTTGATGGCACACGGATCTCGATGACTAGCATAATTCTGGCAGTCTGAAAAGTTTCACTTTATAATATATTAGTTCTGTCCCACACGCCAGCTTGATCAGGGAAGGCGTTTTTTGGTTCGCGTGCCTTTCGATATCAGAGGAGTGGCAATGTTTTGTTTGGAGAAAATAAGTAAACATTTCGTTGGCAAGCGGAATCAGGCATTATCCAGTGAACCAGTAAGTGGTAGCGAGAATGCTACGGTTTCGGATTACCATTTTGATAAAATTCAGTTCCTCAAGTTGTATCGGGAACACAGCCAGGATCACGCAATGTATATGAGGAGTAAATATGGTGGTTATCTTCAGCCACTATATGAGACGAAGGCAGCCAAGATGCCTCGCTTTAAGAGTCGTAAACTACAGCAAGTTATGTAAGGTCGCACACATCTCCATCCGAAAGTTTTGCTTATTCGAACAGTATGCCACCTGTCAGTAACAAGAATAAAAATTTTCTGATTCTTTCAGAAGTTGAGCTTCTGATGCAATCATCATTAGGTAATATTGTGATGTTAGCGCCAGCGAAGAAGGAACTTATTTGTTTCTCTTTGCTCCTCACAATTTTACTTCGAAATCCAAATCAAATGATCTTGATGTTACTACGGGAACTGATAAGTAAAAAACTAACCCGAACAGTTTGAACAAAATCCCCGAAATTTTAGTTGCATGGTCCACATACAAATGGCGGTTTACTGAAATAATACTTTATTCTTTAGAAGCATATTGAGTGTTCCCAAACAGGCAGCCAACCGGCAACAGTCTATCTTATTTAATGATTTCCTTTGTGACAAAAATCGGGGACCAGCATTGTAATCCTGATTAACTATAGTGGTTACATATGGACTTTAACGAATGTGCTAGACACTGTCCATTAGTCTTATCCGCGTGGATCATTTGTTTACATCCTGTTTGCCCGTGATTGTTGTGCGGTATCTAACGTAGGTAACTCCGATACAAAATCGCTAGGCTACTTTCGAATGTGCAGAATGACAACAGCCATTTTGTGCATAATTTTTATCTTACAGAACTCACACTGGTCACAGATAACAACCAATGGAAGTGTACCGGCTACAGAGGAAGGTCCGATGCCAACAAGAAGAGAAGTCCTTCGGCGTGAGGCTGTTTGGGAGCTGTTCAAAAGCGAATTGATTTTCTTCACTGATCATTTGTTGGTCTTGAAAAACGTATGAATCAATTATGGATTGGTGCTTCCATAAATCTATCAAACAATATCACCTCCGTGTTTAGTTTCATCTGATCGTTTTCATCTTTAAAAATGTAGTGCTTCATGGAACCATTAAAGAAGCTTCAAGTGGACGGATACCTCATGTTCGTCGAACCTTCGGATCTATATGGAAATTTGGATGACTTGTGCTATGTGAGTACTTGCAAATGTTTATGCTTCGGTTGATATAGAAACTTCCGTTCGATGTAAATCTAATGGTTACGTTGTAGATTACAACCACGAATTTGAGACACCTGTGCAAATACAGTGAGTTCTATGATGCCAGAGATGCATAGATGATAGGGGACTGAGGAAGTGAGCGTCATTGACCTGTCAAACAGGATGAAAGGATCGTCTGATGATCTCTCGTTTAAGTGGTTGACCTCGGCGGCTTGTGCTGGTTGTAAGGTACAATTCGCTTGGAAGTCTTGAGTGCCGTGAACTACGGCTATCAGCAGCGACCATATTTGGAGTCCAACACAAGGCCCAATACTCTCTGGTGACCGCGGGGAATCATGCATCCCAAAAACAATTGCCCCGGAGAATCTGTAGAAACTGAAGAACTCCGACAAGTTCTTGATGATAACGTTTCATGCTCTGGTTCACATATTAGTATTGGGAGTAGTTGTAGTGGGTCTTCCAGCAGCGCTCTTGCAGCGTTTAAGTTAACAGAGTTAAAGAAGGAGCAGTTATATACCGAAATAGTGATCGACAATCAAATACGTCTTTTGCATGTCGCAACCTTAGTAAAGATGGCTAAGTTCCGTTTGGAAGTTGAAGGGGTTGAAGATCACGAACAGCTTTTTAGTCGATCACAAGTACTTAGCAATGAGCGGCTGGATCGGTTTGTTGAAGAGAGCCGTAAGTCGTTGTCTGAGGTGACCTGTCTTAACTTTTCTCCCGACAGTTTATGGGAGGTCTATCACCAATCATTCGACTTACCCAGTCTAGTTGGTGTTTTTGACGGTAACCCTGCTGCTTATTAAAATCCTCTAAGCAATTTGAATACGTTATCGAAAGCCAACTCTTCGACAATGGGCAGAAATTAATTTATTTGTTATAGTATTGCCGTGTACCTTCGAAGAAGGCCATCAGCGAGTGCATTCTGTTACAGCCTGCCATGGCATCCGACAGAGCAAGATGCGTTCTTCGCGAGATTTTTGGGGAAAGCTATGTAGTGGCTAGATTATTGATTGACTGTTTAATGACAGATTTAAGACCACTTAACCTTGAGTCGCAAGATTTGTCCAACTTGTCTTTGAAAATGTAAAATTGTTATATCGCCCTTTCACAAATACATTTCACAGCCGATCTGCGTTTCATTGTCACCATTGAGCGGGTAGTTCGTATACTACCATCCAGCCTACAGTCCAGATGGGCAAGAGTAGCTGACTCCATTACTTACGATGGAAGGGAAGTCGACTTCAAGGATCTGGCGGATTTCGTAGCAACCGAAGCTGCAGTTGCACGAAGTAGATTCGGCTAAATTGCCTCCTCAGTTTCGTTACGACAACATTCCGCGGCGGCCGCACCGAGAGCAGATAATAAACAAAACGAACGTAGCCATATCCTCTATACCAATTCAAGCGATTCTCCGAGACAAATGTGTTTGGCCTGTGGTACTGGGCATGAAATGGCCGCGTGCCGGAGTTTTCTGGCTTCAGATGTCCCTAGCAGTTGAAACCTCCTAAAGTCCAAAGGATCGCGGTCAACATTGAGATTGCGCGTCGCAATCCATCCACACAACGCGTACTTTAAAATGACCCTCAACATCCATAGGAGGATGTTACAAATGTCCGAAGGTAGGTCACAGATCCATTCACTGTCATAGAAAAAGAAAGGATGCAAAGTGTCCTTTTGTAGAGGACTACATCATCCACTACTCCATTCAGAGCTAAGATACGTCGCTCTCCATAGCAAGGAAGGCAGTTGCGGTTCTATTTCCAATGCACTGCGGCAGGTGTGTTTACAAGTATTACCTGTACGCTTAAAAGGTCCGTTGGGGTTTTTTGAAACCTGCGTCATGTTAGGTACTGGTTCGAATATTACATTAGTGGAGGAAGGCCTTTCACAACAAGCCGGCATCAGAACAACACCGACTCGCTTAGAATTAACGACAATGTCAGGTTCCTCCTCACATGAATCAGGGTGTGCCGACTTCACAATAGCCTCAATGAACAGCACAGATATAATTTCTGTAAGACACACTTACGGTTTAGCAAACTTGCATTTGAAACCCATTGTAACTCCATTGATGAAGATAACGAGCCAGTGGCCATACATGACGGATGTGTCCTTTGAAGAATTTAAGGACGGCCGTGTCCGAATTCTCATAGACGCAGAAGTGCCGGAGGCACATTGGCATTTATAGCAACAATTGGGGAGCAGGAATCAACCGTTTTCCGTAAAAAGCTTACTTGGCTAGATGTTACTTGGGCTAATGGGAGAGTGTAAAACGGTCAGCAGTTCCTTGAATTACTCCCTAATCAACCAACCATCCATTGAAGATCAACTGGATAGGTTGTACCACAACGGCTTTGCGCATTTGGACTCAGAAAATCAAGAACCTTCAGCGAAAGACAAGGCCGCATTGTTGATTGCGCACAATTCCTTGCATTTGATATATGAACATTTTAAGATCGGTATTCCCTGACGAAAGTCGCAGGTATAGATCCAAATAACTATGAGATGGCTTTGCAGCGGTTATAAAGTTTGCCTAAACGTCTGAAAGCCAAGCAAGCTTTCCTTGAGTGGTACTCGGCGATCGTAGAGGATACTATTGGTAACCAGTATGTCATGCGTGTTCCATCGAATCAATTGGAGCATAACAATACAACCAGGTGGGATCTACCCCATCGCGCTGAGATAAATCCTAAAATAGCGGATATGCTAAGGGTCGCATTGGATTGCTCCGCAAAATATAAGGGCCTCTCTTTGAGCTATCATTTGTTACAAGGCCCGGAAAGCAGACGCGATTCGGAAACGAACGAGTCGCGATTGTTGAGGACATCGAGGAGATGTTTGTGCAGTCGTAAGTTCCAGGGAAGGATTGCGGTACCTAGCGTTACCTATGGTAGAGAGACAGTAATTTTGACTCTGATGCGTTGAAGTATCAAATGACCGCTCACCCACTTGGAGCGATTTCCTCACCTTTTTGTGCTAGTTTTGCTATACGTCAGACAGCGGAGGAGTGTAGAATTCGTTATGATAGAAATGTGTCAGGTGCCACCGTGAATGGATTTTAAGTTGTCGATTGTTTTTGTTCATTATCTTCTACTCCTGAATCCATCCAGCTTGTTGTTCATATTCGGGAACTGCTAGGCAAAGCAGGGTTAATGCTTCGAAAGTGCACCTCCGGCAGCATTGAGGTGTTTGAAACGGCGCCATCTACTGAGCTCTCAAACTTGTTTAAACTCTTTGGAGAAACAAAACTGGCTAATCGCACGCCAAGTATAGAATGGAACTCGGTGGATGACACATTCCGGTTCCGGTTCGACGTAATGGATGTGCCAAAGACGAGGAGATGAATTTGGCCTGTGACATCTTCCTCATCCAACACTCTCGGATTAGTTGCTTCTAGAATCATGCATACACAGTTACCGCCACAGAAACTGTGCATAGAATAACTCGGTTGGCATCAGCCAGTCAAGGTAACAGACTTCCGTGATCAAGCAGCTGTTACGTCAAATGGTATGCCATCACTTAGACCAAATGCATCAAGGTTGTCACCAGCGACACTGTGTAACCGGTATGCGTGATGTTGAAGACGGACGAACTAATTAGCAATGTTGTTTTGGAGGAGGTGGCGCAATGAAGACCTCACCATAATGCATATTAAACATAAAGAGATTAAACTGCGCTGCAACTTTAGACCCGGAATATTCTCGAATACATTCAGTCGTGATAGTAGGTCGTTGGAGGTGATAGAGAGTTGTAAAACATCCAAGGACGGATTAAAGGAACCGTGATGGTTAGAATAAAAGAGGGCGTATACGAGCGCGATGTCAGAAAGATATACCTTATAGAAGGCAGCGAATGGGAAGAGAGGTCAGTTCCGGCTGTTGTGCGAGAGTGTAGGCGTACCATCGTAAGTCCTGCACTTCCCCCATAGCGGATGGAGCAGTCTATGGTGAACCAGAGTACATCGAAACCCAGAGGAAATTTCGGTCGAAATTTGGTCGGGATTGTAGAAGATTCCGAAATGTCCTATCCTCTGCTGTCTTCCTACGTCTCCCTGCCTCATGGTTGTGATTGCCTTTACCATTTACCCAACTTTCAGTATCTCAACCGACGTTTAGTATCTGACTGTCAATGGAGATTGTATTCGTGCCAAATTAATTATATTTGCACTTTAAACACGTAGGTCACCTGCATTCAACCATGCATGCATTGACCTACATTTCCAATTTCTGAACTGACCTATTTGTCGCTTCATGTGGCTTCGCCTCATGTTATCGGTTTGTGATGTTCCGTTTCAACTCCCTCGCCTTGGCATTCTGACACTGGAGAGCAAGTTGTTCTTCATTTCGCATGTAACCTGACGATGTTGCGAGATCATGTGTGTAGTTCACATACGTGAAACCACCTCGTCCGTGAAGACAATTGTAAATGTTACTCCATGTGCAATTGAAACACTTATAATACCATCACCTTATGTGTGTGTGTGTGTGTGTGTGTGTGTGTGTGTGTGTGTGTGTAAGGCACTGGCCGAACGCCCCCTTTTCACAGCAACCTCCATTTCCGATTGGTCATGTGTAAGCGTCTTGAAGCCATAGTAGATTGAGATGAGCTTAGTCTAGGCGGACTTGAAGCTCAGCTTGCTGGCTATCTTGGATTTTTGTCGTTGTCTGATATTCCAGTGTCGGAAGCACAGATGGCTGAAACTGCTGGAGACACGTTTACTCAATCCTTCCAAGCGAATTGTCGCTTACCATGGTGAGGAAGTGACTAAAATCATGCCTTAATCCGCCTACTCACAAGTAAGCTAAAACTAAGCCATACCAATCCTCAAAATGCTGTGTGTTTCTTGGCACTGGCAAGGGAATTGCTGACCCCGACGACTAACCACTGTCCTCTATACCAGCAGTAACCTAGATGACAGTAGTGGATGAGTCCAGCCATGTCGCGGGTGCGTTTCTATCCTTGATGACCAGTACGTTTCTACGCAGCTCAACGGTGTTAGCGGCTGGGCGGTTGTGTAAGTCGTTAGAGATTGTGTGTTCGATCCTCAGCAGTCAACCGAGGAAACGCGCACTACTGACGTGGCAAAGTATGGCAAAATGGTCCTCTGGTGCCTTTCCTGATGAGTAGTTGACCCTTGCCGCTTGTAAACAAATTACGACGAAGCAAACAGACCATATATATGACATCGCCTAATCCTTGTACAATGCAGTTTGTGCACTGTTGCTTACACAAATTGTCCTGAAATGCCCTGTGGTTTAGTCCATGTTAAATTTTCTGTTTTTGCTTTTAGTATTATCTGAATCGCATGCTCCCTAAGCGGCTTGCCATGAGTAATCACAGTATGCAGTTCTTATGCGCGCACACCAGTTAGAGCTAACTGTCGGCATTGCGAACGAAAATAGCACTGCTTGTAGAGCACACTGAATCATCGAACTCATTGATCTGAGCATGGTTGTGATCGATGGCGATACAAGGATTGTGAACCTGTTTGATAGTTTAAACAGTTCCTAGTGAGTGGGTGGATTTGGTGAGATTTATTTTACCGCAAACAAATTGTAAGCCAGATTGGTCAGCTACCGATCAGAAAATGCGCCTCACGGCCGGTTCACACTATTGGGGCTTGTCAGTGATGCTCATTCCGTCGGTCTTCCTTAACAGATTCTGCTCATGACCTCTAGTGTGTTGCATCATTGAGCGTCCGCTTATACCACTCAGCCATGCGGAACATAGGGCTCATTAGCCTTAACTGCCTTGGAAAGACTGTGTGGATCCAAAGCTAGTTGCAGAAAATTCCGGACTCCTGTTTGCCAACTATTTTCCTCTGTGCAGGAAAGAAACTGTATGGTAGTGGAGGACGGACCGCGATAAATCGCAGATAGATCTCAGTCAATGATGGTCAACTGTCGTCCCCTATGGCTCGGTGGCACAAGCTGCTGGCTGGTGGGGCAAGCCACTAACATTCATGGGTTCCAGTACCTGAAGGAAACCGAGGGAATGCGCACCACTTCCAAATACCAATAGGATAAAACGGCCGTCCGGCGCTTTTTCGGTTTGATAGTTGTTTATTCTGGATTGTAATCGGATTACTGTTAATCAGGCAAAAATTCAACCAATGGTTTGACTTGAAAATCCCCAAATGAGGACGAAAGCCGCTGTTTGTAAATGAAAACTTGCATTGACTTAAGTAAAAAATGTAAAAATGTTGTTGTTATCACTGTTTAAGTGTGCTAATATGGACATAAACTTTAGAGCTTGAGTAAAAATAGCGTATTGGAAGAGCGAGCACCGTGTCATCTGCGTCTCATATTTGGACGAGGCTTAAATGTTGGCCTGTGCCACTTGCGGAGTAAATAAGTAGCCATTTTCCGAGCTTGAACAAACGTGGCAAAGTGAGGTGGATCAGCTTGCACAAACTATGGGCTGTAGCAACGGTAAATAGACGATGGTTACTGTTATTATGTATATTTATAACAGTAATAAGTGTACAATTCATAGCTCAGCATGTATTTGGAACCGACTGGGATCTCATGATTTCAGATGGTTTGGAATGCAGTTTGGTTTTTGTAGGCTTTTATTAGGGTAATGTTTCGCTCTTCACGTGAGAGCATGAAAAAGCTCGTGCGTCACGCGCAAAATGTTTCCATAATAAAAAGCTATAAAAAACCGATTTGTATTAAAAACCTGAAATCATGATACGAAAGATTGCTTCTATAACGACACACATCAGTTTGCAGAAGGGCATCTATGCTGTTGCATAGACCGTACGTATACGTACAATATGGAAGCCCCTGATTGATCGAATTGCTATTTTGTGCATGGTTCAGGCGAAAGCCAGGGTTTAAATTCTTGCTTTCTTTCCACTTTTATGCACCCTCGTAGAATAGTTCATCGTACATTTCCAACGGGAATACAGTCATTACAGTACTCATGTCGAGAAAAGCTTATATATTGTCACCAACATTTGTCACATTTTTACATGTTCTGTCGGTTTTTCTATATACAAATGACCAGGAAGAATTTGGTATGCTTGCTTGTTCTAGCCTTTGGTATAACCCGTATATACTCTTTGTTGCCAAGATCTCGAATTGAGCTACATTTCATTTCCAGTGTATGCAGGTCGTAATGAGCAATTTTTGTGTGGCTAATTGAAAAGCAACAACAAGTCATGCTTCAACCGTCGCATCCAAATCGGGTCAAGTTGCTGTTTGTGGAACACTCTAAATAAATAATATAGATGTTTAGTACACGGCCTTAGCAGACGGTCCAGAGCGATTCTGTCGTTCTTTACTGCGTTGCGGATAACATGCTGCAATACGTGAAATTGGGGCATGTGAGTAGCCTAGAATCGTCAACTTCGGCACGAGTTGTGTAAATTGCACTGGATATATTAACCACAGATTTTTGGCCCGCGTCATTTGGTATTAAACCTGGTGGCAGAAGTTGAATTTCGACGTGTGTCCATTTCTGAGGTCAAGATTGGAAGGCTGTATACGGACGTGTTCATTGTTGGGTACACTAGATCTTTCGGGGGAGGGGGGGGAAGCGGTAAGGCATGATGCTTTGTTTTTTGTCTGAGAACGTCGTTATCCACAAGTGGTGCTATGCTTCAAGGGCACACAATTCTTCATGAATGAGTAACAGCGTTCCGTGCAGTTCGTTTCGTCGAGGGTTGTAGACAATCTTGAATCCATTGGGAAAGAAATATGGCCGACACGATGACTTCACGGAATTTGATTAGCAAAATGAAGGCCAGAACCCGCTCTTTTGAATGACCTCTCTAATAGTTTGACATGGAGAAGACCTATAGACAACAAATAAACCCCTGGCAGTGACCATCCAGATAGGAGAACAACCAACCTATTAATGCTTCTTGGATCCTAAAGACCACCAATATTTCTAAAACCACTTCGGAAACTTCAACAACTCCAACAAGATAAATAACTTGCAACTGTCCACACTGTATTGCAGCGTGTTAGTTTGAGCACTGACTGCTTGGCATAACTGCAAACATTAGTCGTCGATGATAAAGCATCAAAGTACCAGCAATAGAATCAAGTAAAACTTTGTTCATCTATTATCTCGCACGCCCAAGTACAATATGACAAAGTGAACATGTTTCATGACTCATTGGGACTCGGCAATTTTATTGCTAAACTTCTTCGTTGGCTACTTTTACAGGTGAGTCACTCTCTGTGTCGGGAACTTCTTGGGAACCTGAGCCGCGATAGTCGAGTGAAAGATTTCGGCAACACAAACGTATTACTCCAGACCCTAAAACGAGTACGTTATATTAAGTGAATATTCCTTTACTTTATAACAGATTCACGTCCTTCGCTTACTTGCCTAGGTTAATTATTGTACAGACACATGCCAGGCGGGGGATTCTGCTGTTTACTGTCCTGTTTATCGGTGATCTACCAAGTTGACCTAGTACAGTCGATGTTACCGACAGCATGACTACTTGTTCAATTAAACTGATACCCAAATATATCCATTCTGGATACGATCCTCGAGATCGGAAAGTTCGAGATTTGCCTTAAAGTGAGCCGAGGTCACAATAGAGGTTGAGAGTCGCAACCCAACCACACATCGTGCTCCCTAAATGCAGCTTTTAACTGATACCTGCCTAGCTACGACTACATTGGAGGGTGACCCAGCAAGCTAAATCTGCAACACAGCATTAGCCTTAAACCGTGACCGATTGCACGTGAAATGTCTCAGACAAACCAAAGATGGCGGACAATGCTGAAGCTATATGCAAGTACAGTACTACAGAATTGTGGCAACCGGACAAGTTGGTCAAAAGAAGTGGAGGGTGATAGTTTTAATCCAATTGTATAACAGATGCCAACACGTTGTCTGATTGACGTCGGTTGCTGCTTGTTGGGCAGAATTTTGAGAAGGCATACCCCATACTAAGTTTGTGTCCCAATTCACATCCACAACCCGATTGTGCGGCAACCTAATGGCTAGGAATCGTGACTCACATTACAGAAAACCGCATTATTGCTTGTATTCACTAAGACCAATACTAAATCCAACATGAGCAGACGGTCACATGCCGTCTATGAAACAAGAGAACAAGATACGATCGGCAAAGAAGCGAAGGTGAGATTTGTCCGCAAAATGGCGGACAAGCTGTACACTATATCGCAGTTTTGTATTGTCTATCGAGCTACCTAGCGTAACTGAGACTTTTTAAAAACCAGAGTGTGAGCAGCGTTGTCTACTGTAGTAAACAGCATGAACCAGATGCACCGGTTCTGACCAACGAAACTTCTACTCATCTACGTACGTTCTGCTGGAGGTTGTGTGGCGCCCGCTGATTCTGTGTCAATTAGTTGTGTGGCGTGCACTGGTTCCTCGCTCGCATACGTCAGGGCTTCCAAAGCGTTCCTGTCCTTTCGGGGTTAGTTTGGCCCGCTGTTAGTCCGTTTGGTTCAGTGGCAATTACATACTACAGACCACGGTAGTAGTGGCTGCGTTCGGTTCACCACAATGTGAAGACCAATTACTGTTGACATCCTCAGGTGCGCATTGCACGTTATAATACCGTTACATACCATGTAAGTTCTTCCCTGTGTTACATAATTTTCGACCCGAACCTTCTCATGGTATAAGCTAGGGCATAGTATTTTTGGGTGTAGGATTACCCACTGTGTGTCTGGATTGCAAGACGCAATGACGATAACAGTTGTCTGGTGCTTTTCCAGGCGTATGGGGAACCTGACTGATTGTGAGGAGACTGCAACGAACTTCATCCACAAATCACAATAACATCGCTGTTTGCTCTGAAGCAAACCACAGCTTTTTCAATCCCTGGAACCGCCACCAAACTGAAAAGCTTCGGTGCTACTTTTTCCTAACTCTTCTAAGTTGTAAATAAATAGGATTTTGTAGCCAATGTCTTGTACCCAGTAGTAGCAAAACCAGATTCGCGAAACTTCTTTGCGGTGTGTCGAGTGCATACTAAAAACTGCGGTCGTATACATAAAGGCAACATTTCACCTTGGGAAATGATAATTCATAACAAAATACACAAGTATTTTCCCGCCCCTCGTTCAACTACTTGATCATGTAGGTGCTGGTTGATTCGTATACAGACGAAATACGACCCGTTTTACTTCTTTGGCATCCTCACATTCTAAAGGCGGTTATTTCAAATTTGTGGACGCAAGGTACTAAGGATTTCACTACTTTTGTAAGTCACTCTGAACACATGGGCAAGAATAGAATCATGAGCACATCGACGTTTACCCGAGACAGTAATTACTTCATTTTGGGTGCTTGCCTAACTACAGAGTATAAATAAGCTCCAGTAGAAACATATACCGGACCCGTCATTGGCTAACATGATCGGCGTAATCACCAAACAACTGTTAAAATATCGCGGAGATGTAATTACCGATCAGTAAACAGCTCTGTTCTCTGTGATCTTGCATGAATTATTCGCGCTCCTGGGAAAAGTTGATTGTCATTCTGTTCTGCAATAAGGGGGCGCTCGCCCTCTGCGCCGATTACAGGGAACTCAGTCTAAGGTAGGAGGGTTCGGTCTGGCTCTATCCCAACTCTGGCACCGTACGACTGGTTTCGTCCTAGTTTGTGCTGAGCAGTAGAGATAAACTGAGCTGGTGAGTCCAAAAAAGGACGAAATCGATCGTGAGGCTTCCGTGTTAAAACTGTGCAGCAACGGAACCCTCCTTCTCCTTCGAGTACAGTCTAAAGCCAGTTAACTCCAAGCTGCTAGCCCCCATTCTATTACGCCGGCTAAGCATTATTCTAGAAACACGCTGTGGTGAACACCAGGTAAGATGAGGCTAAACGTTTAGGGTGGTGTTGGTTTACTAGAGTAAGTAACAGCCTACCATGGGCAATGGCAGGAGCCGGTGTTCGGTGTTTGATAACGGGTATTTACGAAGGTTCGCTCCTGTGTGGTGGGAACACCACCTTTGCAACGAAGCTGTCAGATATCATAGCTGAGGCGATAAGTGTCTTCCGTGCAAAAAGTCACGAGGTCGCGACTCACCGTCTGCATAAGATTGCGCAGGAAGAAGTCGCGCAGTAGTCAGTATGGCACGTTACAACAAGACGTTAAAACGCTGACTACTTGCTTGGGTGTCGTCTGTTCCGTTCATTTTCTGTGTTGGTGACGCGATGACACATGGCATCATTGGCTCGATGTACTTGAGGGCATGGCGAGATTTCGGGTTCAATGTATGAAGTTTATGAAACCAAGCATTCCGACGACTGTTTAAAATCACCATAACTGATAGCTTTATGTCGTCTAAAAGAAAGATACCTGTAAAAATATTATAATGTATACATGCAAACACTTAATTTTCACTCTGCTTCCGAATACATTAGCATGATGTACAGTTGAAAGGATGTTTATTTTTGGGTACGTATTTCCTCTCCTCACCGTTGATACTTTGTCCTATTTGAGCGCGCATAGGCATCTTGTTACTGTGGTGTGGCTCATCGAAGGTTAGTTGCATATTCTTCATAAAATTTGTAGGCCGGTTTCAATGTGTAGATCAGAGTTTTGATAAAGCATGGCAACAAACGTCTGTCACTACGCGTAACCATTCTAGTTACGAATGCATCTACCATTTTATGCTTCACACTTCCTGGAGTCCCACTGAACAGGGAAACACGCGATTGGCTTATGCAGATTACCGTCGCATTACTAATCAACAGACGGAGTAGCTTTCAACAGCCTGTCATTTCACAATCAACTACCTCAAAATCACACAAAGCAAATGGACCTGTGCTAAGCTGGTTTTGCTGTAGTTACAAAAAGGAGCTTGCGCGACACACATAAACCTTGGAGCCGTTCCTCTCTGGACTTTGATGGACTCCATCTTTCGGATTTTGTGGATGCGATTACCACTGTTCCATATGCGCTCACTTCCCAAAGTTATGTGGGTGGGCTTACCAGTGGTGATAAAATCCATCCATACGATTTGGTTTAATTTACAATAAAAACGGACAATAATTCTTACGGACGGCTAAGAAACTAAATGTGTTTGTACTTTGCGCAAGCTAATCGGCACATATGTACGAATACTGCTAATGTTTCTCTTTCATCTAGTGGTCGGAACATTCCAGAGACGGAGAAGTGTACCATACATATTGTTTGAACTATGACTCCGCCTTGGTCTACCTGGACACCCTGAGGACGAACGAGCAATTCACTGAGTATGAAAGGGTGAGTTCTATGGTTGATTTATCAATCCGGCGAAAAGGTTTAGTTTCTTCACATTGAACCTATCTCCGTCTCGCTAGTTTCCGCTGACGTAAGAAAAATTGTATTTGTAATTGCGTTCTTTAAGCACTGAAAACTGTTGGGGATACGAATTGGCATGCACAATTTCCCAGGTCTAAAGAATGTTTAACTGTTCGTTGTTTAAAGCGAGTGTTTGAATGGCCCTCTATCAGTGCGGTTATCATCATGGGCAATTCTTATGTAAGTGCTGGGCACTCTTATTCCCTGAACTCTCAAAAGCACTGGACACTATATTGGGAGTAATTGTGTAGGGCAAAGTACCTCAATATTTGGTGTACGCAAGTTCGTTTCGTAATACCTCGTTGGAAATTACTGGAAACGTCGTATTTTGGGATTCATTCATTGTGGTTCAGCTGGAATCGACTCATGTGTACATGGGTCTAACCGAATCAGTAATCAAGGAAGTAATTTGTGCTAAGTTTCTGCCGAGATACATACAATCGTTGTCCAAATGATGTTTATCCCACTCGTTTTGATAACTGCCCGCTTGTTTATTTACAGACGTCAAGATTGTTAAATCCGGCAATAGTGGTGGCGCTTCGTGAAAAAGTACATGCTTCGAAAATCAAGCTTTCATCAATAAATGACTTGCTAGTTCTCATTAAACTAGCTCCTGTTGAAGTATTCCAGTAACTTAATTGCAGTTCTACGTTTGGGCTTGCACGCTTACCATACCAAAATAAGTTTCCGCTGTAAGGAGAGACAACAGGTTTACACAAAATTGAACTTCATTCGGTAGGATTTCTCCACATACGCACAGTATACGTACAGAAGCAACAAAAAATGCGTTTGAAATCTACTGAATTCATATGTTTTGTCCGGCTTGATTATTTAAGAGCAAAAAGCGGTTAGCTCTTATAGCGTGAAACGAAAGTACTTATCGTTGGTAATGCAATAGTCCGCGTAGTTTCACAACAGAAATAGACAAAAATTAATATGTCCAAGTTATAGCCCAGGAACAAAACGGAGAGTTAATGCTAAGTTACAAAATGTTAGCTGCTGACTCTCTCATAAACCATCTTCCAAATATGTTTAATGTCAGCGACTAAACAACGGATTTGAGAAGGTTGTTCTCGCGGACACATCTCGTGTATAATACGTCTCACGTAGACAGGCAGGTATTTGCAGGGTGACGTACAAATCCTGAACTTCCATCTGATCATGCCGACAAGTAGCTATAGTTAGGAAGACACTGTATCATGTGAATTGGTGGAGCACACCCTCTGGCTTAAACAATAAACCATTATTTTATGCGTGTTGAGAATCACTGCTTTGCAACTGCCGTTGAGTGGTCTGGTGGGTTTATCAGAAAAGAGCTAATAGGAAGCAATTGGCACTCTAAGTAACAAAGGAAGGACTGATCGTTTGTTATGCTATAGTCCAGCACTCTGCGGGGGTTTCGCTACACCACTAAGTGATAGCTAATAAATCCAAGGTAAATTTCAAGAATTGAATGGAAAGATGTTGCTATGTATCAAAAGGTACATGGATGAGTGCGTCATCATTATGCAATACAAAAAAGAAATGTCTTGCACAAAATTAAAGAATAATAAACAGGCTGGGCGACCTGATCATCCGAATGCTAAAAACCAGCCCTGTGAACTATAAACAGGTGATGGTCTAATTGTCACACCGGCACACAGCCAATTGGAGCACGGAAGTGTGGGTGAAACCGTTCGAGGGAATATCCCGCCTGCAAGCAAGTCCCCGGGAGAAAGTTACGTAGATGGCGTATTACTTTGCGCAAACATTTGCTCACATATACATTTGACGTTGTTCGCAGCTTCCTAATAATTCTAATGATTTCAAAGTGCCAATCACTTTAGGACAATTCTTCTGGCTCCACTGTATAAATTGTGAAAATTGTTTATTTTGTATGATCTGTTTGTATACATTGTGCAACCATTCAATTGGACTATTCCTCGCACCGTCATGGAACATACGGTTTATGTATTTATATCTAATTTTTTACAATTAATAGACATAATAAGGTTGCTGTAACGTTAGGTACAGAAATTATAAAATCGCATACAGATTCAGCACGTGCACATTTTAACTGCATTATTCATCAGCAATGTTTGTGTTCAAAAATTTTACAACTGAATCATATGCTTAGTTTGGTCACCAAGACAGTGAACTATATCAGCAACCGTTCT